GGGGGGGGGGGGGGGGGGGCTCTGCGGTTGACATTTCTCTGCAGCCCACCAAAATTTTCTCGCGGACCACCAGTGGTCCCCGGCCCACTGGTTGGCGACCGCTGGCCCCTTCCAATTCTGTTATCTATTCTGTTCTGCTCTGTTGTTCTGTTCTGTTCTAGTTGTCAGCTACTTGACAATTCTATAGAATAGAATAGAATAGAATAGAATAGAATAGAATAGAATAGAATAGAATAGAATAGAATATCCTTATAGAGGAGATGGGCAGCATAAAAATGTAATTAACAAACAAACAACAAATCCATTCCTCTTAATGGCTGGGAAATTCTGGGAACTGAAGTCCGCTTAAAATGGCTAAGGTTGAGAAATCCTGATCTACAGAGATGATAAGCAGGGGAAGCGATCAATTTACAAAACCACATTCAAAATACAGATGGACAGCAGAGGCAAAAGATTTTAGAAGTGGCAGAGGAAGAGTGTCAAAGTGGGTTGTTTTTTTTTCCCTACCAACCCCCAAAGGTGAAGTTCCTCAATTCGGTTGAACTGATGCAAAACCTCAATGAGTAATACCACTGAAGTGCATTGGTGGGACAGCTGCCCTCCACCAAAAAGGGGAATAAAAAAATTAAAAACCTCGTAATCTTATTTATATAGAAGGGCCACTCCCTCTGCCATTTAAACTTTTTGGAAGAGGGTGTGTTGGCTTCTGGCTGCAGGACCCTAAAACAGCAGCAAAGTTGAAGGGAGAAGGGAAGACTCACAGAAAAGAGCCAGTTTAAAGCGGGGAGAGATCATCCTTTTTGCCTTATTTTGTAAGTTAAATTTTCACTGGAGCGACAGAGTGGAAGGGAGCCTCAAGGTCATCAAGGCTAACCTCCTATCAAAGGCATAGCTGAGATATGGCTGCCCCATCTCAGCTTAAACTGAGTTTAGTGTCACCCAAGGCACTCAATTCCACTGCCAAACAACTCTTAATTCAATAGCTACATAATGCATGTCAGGTCATCGATTGTTGCTTATTCATATGAATAATAATTAAAAATTACACTATAATCAATTCTCATGGCTTCTCTGGATGAGTTCCCATATGGGAAGAGAGGAACAATTTATCATAATTAGCATCTACTCTTTCAGTCTTACTACAGGTAGTCCTTAATATACAACATTCATTTAGTGACCATTCGAAGTTGCAACAGCACTGAAAAAAAGTGACCTTTGGCCATTTTTCACTTATGCCCTTTGCAGCATCCCCAGGATCACGTGATTTATATGTGGCTGCTTGACAACTGGTTCATATTTATGACGGTTGCAGTGTCCCGGGGTCATGTAATCAGCGTTTGTGGCCCTCTGACAAGCAAAGGCAATGGGGAAACCAGATTCGCTTAACAACTGCAGTGATTCACATAACAAATGTGGCAAGAAAAGTTGTAAAATGGAGCAAACCTCATTTAACAAATTTTTCACTTCGCAACCTCAATTCTGGACTGAGTTGTGGTCGTAAGCCAAGGACTACCTGTACTAGATTGACTCACTACATCTGGGGTTGGAGGAAGATTTGAAAACTTCCAGCACGTGTGTACACTTATTTAAGCACCATTACATGTGAATTATGTGCAGATCAAGATCCTTAGACCTGGATCCTTTGTCTTGCATTCACATGATCCATTAATTATCCAACCACTACAGGTAATTATCCGTTTAACCACCCATTTTATGACCAGAGTTATGACCGTTGGAAGTTATGATTTATGACCAGTCCTTGCACTTATGAACATCACCAGGCTCAATGTTGACTCTGCCTTCCATCCTTCTAATGTCGGTAAAATGAGGACCCAGACTGTTGGGGGCAATAGGCTGACTCTGTAAACTGCTTAGAGGGCTGTAAAAGCACTGTGAAGTGGTATATAAGTCTAAGTGCTATTGCTATCACAGGAGCCCCACGGTCACGTGAGCAAAACTTGGACACTTGAGAACCAACTTCTATTTCTGATGGTTACTGCACCCCAGGGTGACATGATCACCACCTTTGACCTTCCTATGGGGCTTCCAACAAGCAAAATTAATTGGGGGAAGCTCTTTAACTACCACGTGATTTGGGTTTTATGGATTTTCCCTTTATCCCTAGTAAACGATGCTGGAACAAAGAGGAGGGGAAGTATTTTAATAGCTCCGTTTTTAAACAAGGAGAAGTAGATACTGGTAATCAGAAAAGTAGAAAAATTTTGTGCTATCCCCTTTCAGCATACCAAAATCACATCTTGTTTTTTAAAAGACAAAACTAAGGCTTTGAATAATCAGACTTCTGTCTTCTTAATCGTTCTTTGAAATGATCACATTTTCAAGATGAGTTCCAGCTACAGGAAATTCTTTGTGTATTTCTAAGTGGAACTCAGCCAGGCTTTTCAGAGAAAATCTCAATTCCCTCCATCATGTTAGAAATGACACTTCAACAGGATGTTGGTTTGGACTGATTCTGTTCTGCTGTTCCAGAATACAGAGAATTTAGCCTGCAATCTTAAATAGCTAAAACTTCTGTGGTGAATTTCCTGATTGCTCTAATTCACCCTCAGGATTCACTGCCTGAAAAATAGGGTTACTACTATAGTAAGTACTTAGAGGGCATAGGCAATATGAGTTAGTAGGAAAGGCTAGGATAGATAATAAGTCACTTAGTAGCAATAAACATTTATCATCTTTAGAATACAAAACAATCTGCTGAAATTCACAAGGTTATTTTGAATTGTGTGCACACAAGATAGGATAAGTGCCAAAACTCCAAACTTGGCACTTATGAAGAACACATTAAATAGCATTGAGCTAAATACTGTATAAGCAGCCATATAATAAAGAACCCAATAATATATACTCAATGACTTAATACACCACACAAGACTATGCTAAAATGGAGTTGGATTAGTTGGCAGATCAACATACAAGGGGAACCCAAACACTGTTTTAAGAGGTTGTGGGAACTTTGTATTAAACAAGGTATATTAGTTCTGGGTTACAAAACTCAAAAAAAAAAAAAAAACAATTAGCTGTTGTCTAGATTTATGTAGCCCTGATCTGGCAGCCTAGGTCACTGAGTAAACCAGTGGTTACAAGAAAGCAAACCATATTTCTTAATCTGGTTTCAGTTTGTTGTATGAAACCCAGCAACTGTGAATGAAGGCAGGAGAATCCATTCAGATTTCCTGGACTTGCAAAAGTTATTGAAACTCCGACAACTCTCTTTCCCAATACAGCTCCACCCCAGTGCCAAAACAAATCTGGAAACGTATTAAGCAACACCATTCACAAGCCTGCTGTCCTTCAGATTTGTTAAACTATAACTTTCATCGTCCTCCACCATCTTGGCTGTCTGACAAGAATGCAGAACTACCAGGCTGGGATTTTGAGATGACCAGATGTACAACCCATCACGTTTGAGAAAGTGGGGTGCAAAGCTTTTATGTGGTGTTTCTTGACCTCTCTTCTCTCAGGACCTTTCCCCACTTATCAAAATCATGGAAAACCCCTAATATATTTGATATTTATTGATATTTACTATATTGAAAATTAAAACTGGCGCCACTGCTGCTTCTCATGATAGTTTGGTGGGAATTGTTTAATTAGGCTGGCAAATAATTTTGATTTTGTGGACCCCTGAAAAGTTTTTGGGACCTGCAATGGTCCCAGGACCACATTTTCACAAGTTCTAAAGATTTGCTGAGACCCTTTCTATCATCCAAGTAAAAATGCTTGTACTATTTCATTCAGCAGTCAAAATCATTTTGCCAATGCTGCTAGCTGTGACGAGGATCATGAAAAGAAAAGAAAAGCAATAGAACATTTTATTCTTTAAAACAGTGTTTCCCAGCCGTAGCAACTTCTAAGATGGGGTGGATTTAAACCCCCAAAATTCCCCCATCCTGGCTGGGGAATTCTGGGAGTTGAAGTCCACCCATCTTAAAAGTTCCCAAGGGTGAGAAACGCTGTTTTAGAAAGATCGAAAATAACAACGCGGCCTCCACATCACTGATATTCACAGCTTATTTAATCGCAGAAACCAGCTCGTGAAACTTTCCATTACCACGGCGGTAAACCGGATCAACGATCCGGAGTAGGAAATGTTGTGAGGTCGGGCGCATCTTTCCCGGCCAGTTGCCAATCTCATGAAGAAAAGCGCACGAGGGGCGATCAATTTCCTTGGCGGAAAGCATTTCTTTTCCTTTGTGCCCTTCATCCTAAAGGGCCGTTTGGAGCCACTGTTCCTCCTACTATGCCTTTACTACGTCGCTCCTCTACTATGTCTTTACTACTCCCGCGGGCAAGGAGGGCTGGATTAGGTCAGAAGACAGCGGAAATCCAGCGGCAAGAGGCGCTGCTCTTCACTGCAACACCGGATTAAAGAGAGCCGGCGACCGTACGTTTGCTGGGGAGGAAAATGCAACACAAGCGAAAGAAAGCAAAGAAAGGGATTGCGGACGCGGGCAGATTCACACGTGCATCCATACCTGCCTCGGTCTTGACGAACCTTCCCAACGCGGGAGAAAAGGCTCGTTTCTCTCCGCAGCCCGAAACGCCGTCTGTCCGTCCGCCCTGCAGGCAAGATTTGAACCAAGCGCCACCCCTTCCGCCTCTCCTTACCGTCAACCCGGCTTCCTTCCCTTAAACGGATAAGACCCGTATCTTTTGCTTGTAAGGATGGCATGGGGTGGGGAATTCCTTTCCCGGAAATCCTTCGCTGGAAAAATCAAGCGGTTTTTTTTTATTGCCCTGCATGGCCTCTCCACGTGGACAGAGGAGATAGATGGATGAAGGTTTATTTTTATTTTGGTAGATTTTTGTTCTGCCTTTTTTTTTTTTTGGCTTACTCTTCCTGATGGCTCTTTCTATTCCCCCCCCCCAACCGCAGCAGCGAAGGAGTAAAGAATAATATGGTTAAAAACACTTAAATGAAGTTGCTGCTTAAATTCATCAACACTTATATTAAATTTGTTATCAGGGAGCCCAATTTACAGAGATAGCCAAAGGATATATAAAAAAAGCTTGGACATTTTTTTTAGCAACTCCCCACTACAGAACCTCCAGAAAATGAAACATCTAAAAATAAAAGAAGATAAAAATTATGGTTTCATTCCATGTCACCTTCACCTTCATATTCATTCTTTTAATTCATATTATTGTACTGTCCTTTATTGCTTCATTGGTTTGCTACTGTTAACATTTTAATTATTTTTTTCCTTTTTACGCTTGTAAGCCATGACAAATTGGTCAGCAAATACATTTATCAAATAAATAAATAAATTTAACAAATTCATAGACCCAGAACTAGTGAAAGCTTCCAAGAGGGCAGTTTAGATAGACCTCAACTTATGATTAGTCATTTAACAGCTGTTCAAAGTTATGATGAAGTTGCACCCCCCCCAAAAAAACACTACTTATTACCCGATTTTGAAGTTACAATGTTCTTCCCTCCCCCTGAGATCACATGATCATATTTTGGTTTCTCAGCAACCAGCCTTCATTTATGGCTAAATACAAGGCCTGGAGCATGTAATTACAATTTACTAAGGTTTTGCTGGAAAATGGCATTTATTTCCTGTTTGGGGCAAAACCTATTCCAAAGCGAACAATGGATTTGCTCAATGACCACTGTGTTTCCTTAAAATCACTGCAAATAAATGTTGCAAAATTGAGTCGAGTCATATAGTAGGAAGTTAGCACCCACCCCTCTCACTCCCACCCACTGTAGGAAGTTAGCACCCACCCCTCTCCTAGAAAATTGAAATATCCTAGGAAATATTAAAAAGGCAGAATATTTCCCCTAAAAAGAGTAGAAACTCAGAAGCAGAAATTCACCTCAGAAGTAGAAGCTCACCCCCACCTTTGTTAATGGGTGGGCCATTAAGGCCTAGGCCAGAATACTTTACACCAGGGGTCCCCAACCACCGGGCCCCGGACCGGTACCGGTCCGTGGAACATTTTCTACCGGGCCGCTGGTTTGCTGGGCGCCATCTTGTTTCGATGAGAAAGTGCTTCCGGGTGAGCTTTTCCGGTTGGAGAGCGGCGTTTGGGTCCTGAAGGAATCGTCGCGCCTTAGTTTCATCGAAGGGGGGAGGGCGGCTTCGAACGAAACTAAGGCGCGAGGATTCTTTCAGCACCCAAGGCAAGGTGCGCCGAGCGACCGTCCCGAAGCCGTCCCGAAGCCCATCGACAAAGGTACAAAGGAGGAGTTGAAGGTGGCGGGGAGAAGCGGGGGACGGCTGGCTGGCCGGTCGCTCGGCTCGCCTTGCCTTGTCATGCGTGCTGATGCCGGTACCGGGCCGCGGATCATTTTGTGATGCCGGTACCGGGCCGTGGCACAAAAAAGGTTGGGGGCCACTGCTTTACATAACAAAGATCTCCAGGTAAAACAATAGCAATTTCCCAAAGCCCTTTCAGTGCATCATCATCCAGCAAGGCTCAACCAAGCCTGGAACTCAGGACAGCCTACAGACTTGCCCCTGCATGGCCCCATGGGAGTCTGACAACCAATCAGAATACAAGCTCAAATTCAAATCCCAACAGAGGGTATAAATCCAAGGCACTCTCAATATCTCAGCCTTTCTTGACCTTCTCTTCTCACCTTGAAGCATGTGATCATCCTTTTCACTTTGGAGCTTCAAGCCCAGTGGTCCTGCTGTCCACCATTAAACCATCTTTCCTAACAGCCTCCATGTTTCCAGTGTCTTTTTCCCCACTTGGAACTGAACCCAGAAGGACATTTCTTTCAACACCGCCATCATGACTTATGACCATAATTGCCAAGCTCAATTACAGTCATATCTCAAGGACTACTTGTACAACCAACCACAACACACAATTAACAAGTAGAACAGCTTGCCTTCAGAAATTGTGGGTGTACCATCATTGGAGGTTTTTAAGGACAGTCATTTGTCTGAAATGGTATAGTGGACAACCAGCTAAATATGAGCCAGCAGTGTGCAGCAGCAGCCAAAAAAGCTAATGCAATCCTAAATTGCATTAATAGAGGGACACAATCAAGATCAAGGGAGGTACTAATACCACTCTATAAAGCCTTAGTAAGACCACACCTAGAGTACTGCATCCAGTTTTGTTCACCACATTATACAAAAGATGTTGAGACTCTAGAAAAAGTACAGAGAAGAGCAACCAGGATGATTATGGGATTGGAGACCAAAACATATGAAGAACGGTTACAGGAACTGGGCCTGGCTAGTCTAGTGAAGAGAAGGACCAGGGGAGACATGATAGCAGTCTTCCAATATTTGAAGGGCTGCCACAGAGAGGAGGTGGGGTCAAGCTATTCTCCAAAGCACCTGAAGGCCAGACAAGGAATAATGGATGGAAACTGATCAAGGACAGATTCAACCTGGAAATAAGGAAAAACTTTCTGACAGTGAGAACCATCAACCAATGGAACAGAAGTTGCCTTTGGAAGTTGTGGGTGCTTCATCACTTGAGACTTTCAAGAAGAGATTGGAATGCCATATTGTCAGAAATGGTGTAGGGTCTCCCGCTTGGGCGGGGGGCTGGACTAGATGACCTATAAGGTCCCTTCCAACTCTGATTATCTGTTATCTGAGCAGAGGGCTGGACTAGAAGACCTCCAAGGTCCCTTCCAGCTCTGTTCTATTCTAATACCTGATCTGGTCAAATACAATCAGATTGAAATATCTAGAATCATGGACCACATCAACTGCTGTCTCAATACTTATTTTCAGTTTGATGGACTTCTATAACAACAAATCAGAAACATCCATAAGATCATCACTCTCACAATTCATACACGAAACCATAATGCAGTGTCTAGAAACTACAGAACTCCCATGCAAATAACCAAAAGTATGGATCTGGTATGTATGTGACACCATCATAATAAAAAGGAACAATTGGAGAAGATACATGAAACAATCAACATCTTCAAAGGACTAAAATTCACAAAAGAAAAAGAAAACCCACTACCCTTCCTAGCTTCCTCATTAGCAGAGGAAATAGTGGCAACTTAGAAATACAATATAGAGAAACAGCCCACACTAAACAAGTGTTCTGCTACCAAATTAACAATCCTACCTCTGAAGAGGAGTTGTGTAAGAATGTTATTCAAATGAGCACAAACACACTGCAGCAACCCGGAACACCAGAAAAAGAAAAAAAAAGTTCACCTATACAACAACAACATTTTCCAACAAAATGGATACCCACCCAACTTTATCAAAGTGTCTGACCACTACTGCACAATCAATGCAAATTATGAAAAGGATAACACTGACGTTTTTTAAATTTAACAAATTTGTATTGCCGCCCCCAAAACATCAGAAACATGTCAGAAACAAATAACAGATTATTACAGCCATACAGCTTCATCATAGCACACAACTAAAGCCGTTCAAAACATCGTAAGTAAAACACACAACCCAGTAGCCCAAGTATAAAAATAGGAGTCATCTACCATTGTGAGGACTGTAACAGCCCCTGTGTTTATTTATTACATTTATTAAATTTATAGACCATTTAGGAGAGGCAGAAAATGAATAGAGTGCTATTAGTTTGTGATTAGAATGTGCTAATAGAGCACATTCATGAACACCAACTAGCAATAAGAAGGCACAGTGAAAACTCCATAATCTCACAACACAGAAGATCAGAACACGTTCCCTCCTGCAGCAAACAACCAGATAAGCAGGGATTAATACCAGACAAACAGTGAAAGAGAAAACAATACCCTAATCTTTATCTCAATCTTCCTTTCAAAAAAGAAAAAAAAACAGCCATATGTTTTAAAATATGTTGTTATTATTTAGTGCTCCAAGTTCTTGAAACACCTAACTTCAGCATGCTGGCTGGGGAATTCTGGGAGTTGAAGTCCACACAACTTATAGTTACCAAGTTTGAGAAACACTTGTTTGAGGCAGGGGTGTCAAACTGGCAGTCCATGGGGCTAGTTGCATCACATGAAGGCCACGCCCACCCCAGCTCTGCGAAGGAAAAAAACGTCGCAATATGTCATGTGACGACAATGTGACACCACGAGTTTGACACCCGTGATTTAAGGGCTCTTGAATAGCCATGTTCAATTTGGTGCTCCCAGAGTTCCTGCTTGACTTCCTTCTTGTGAGGAATTCTGGGAATTGAAGTTCAAAGTTCTTGGAGGACACCAGACTGGGTGTGGCTGTTCTGGAACAGCTGTATCTGTTCTGGAGAGTTCTATGGAAGCAGAATGTCCCACCAGGGCCCCCATTGTCTGGTCTGGGGATGTCATGTTCTGGAATAAGGAACGCAGCCGAGAATGGGTTGCGAAAGCCTCTCTGTGGCCTTAGCAATTGTTCTGCTTCTTGAGCCTTGCCTTTCTCTGGCTTGCCTGCAGTGCGACCCCAATTTCGCCAGCCACTTTTCCTCTTATGCCCCAAAATTGAGTCGTAAGTCTTGGGGGCTCGGTGTCGTGCCAGTGGCAGGACGGAGGCTACGGGGCTGGGTTCAAGATACTCTTCAGGAATTGAACCTCAAGATGTCCCCCGAGATCCGTGAGTTGTCTCCCAAGCAGGGCTGGCCCATATATCTATTTCTTCTGGGCATCAAACAAAGCTCAGTCCTAGATTCTCCAAACCAACATATAACTAGGGTTGCAAACTCATTCTGGCTCAAAGGACCAGGTTATTTGCTCCTCCCCTTCTCTTATGAGTCACTGGATCTCTCTCTCTCTCTCTCCAATACAGTAGCCGAGTCGAAAAGGAGGCTTCACCAGTTGGATTTCTGTTTGTTGCAAGCTGCTTAAGACCTAACAAACCAGCTTAATATGTGGGAAAGGGATGTTCTAAGCCAGGGGTGTCAAACTCGATTTCATTGAGGGCTGCATCAAGGTTGTGTTTGACTTTGGGAGGCCAGGATGGGTGTGGCCAGGGGGTGTGGCCAACATGATGTCACTCACGCCAGGGGTGCCTGTGTGGGCCCAAGCACTCTGCCAGCGAAAACGGAGCTCGAGGGGGACGCATGCGCCCACCCCCGAGCTCCATTTTCATTGGCACAGGGCTGTAGGAGGTCGCCACAACCAAAAAAGAAGCCTTGAACGGCTGTGCGTGGCCCTCCCGAGCTCCATTTTCACTGGCAGAGGCACCACAGGCCGGTCCTTTGCTGTTTCCAGAGCGGCCCTGTGGGCCAGATCTAAGCACCCTGTGGGCCACAGGCCTTGAGTTTGATACCCCTGTTCTAAGCCAGTGGTCTCCAACCTTTCCGGCTTTGCAGACTGGTGTTGGTGGTGGTGAGAGGGGATGGTTCTTTGTGAGTGGCATGTGCATGCCTGCAGCTTCATTTACGTGACTGGCAGGCCGCGTGCCACCCACACGCATAAATGGAGAAGCACACTTGCCACCAGGGGTGGGCTTCAAAAATCTTAGCAAATGGTTCTCTGCCCGGTTGCTGGGTGGGTGTGGCCATGGTGGGTGTGGCCTAGTCAGCCTCCTACACCATGTCAGGGGGGCATTTTTGCCCTTCCCGGGCTCTGGAGGCTTTCCTCAAGCCTCAGGGAGGGCGAAAACGACCTCCCAGGGCTCCTAAGGCTCTCTGAAAGCCGGAAATAGGCCATTTCCGGCCTTCCCAAACTTCTGGGAAGCCTGTTTTTTGCCCTCCCTGAGCCTCCGCCCTGCATCCATAACGGGCCACGTGGGGACTCGGGTCGGGTCAGAGTGGGTGGGGCCAGCCAGGAGTGGGATTTGGGGGTTCTCCGACCTGCACAGAATTTTAGCTAGGGGTCCTCCCAAACCCCTGCGAACCCCCAGCAGCCCACCCTTGCTTGTCACCCTCTCTGTGTGCAAGCGGAGCTGCCTGTACCTGCCATTTCTGCCCAGTTCTGAACAAGCTGCAGCCTGGTAGTGGGCCATGGCCCAAGGCTGGGGACCCCTATTCTAAGCACTGTTGACAGTTCAAGGTCTGGGCCTACCTAGAGCATATTGCTGCCTGTTGAAATAGCCACTATTCTGCCCCTATAAAACAAGAGGCCTTTAACAGAATATAAGTTCAGTTTGTGGAACTCATTGCCACAAGAATTAGTCCCCAGAATTGGAAGAAAAGGAAAGTTTTAAGACAATAAGTACCATACTGACACTTTTGTCAAGCATTGATTGATTTCAGATATTCCCCCAAAAAATCTAGATGGAGATGGCTTGGATGTCTACAATTCTCTTACTTTCTCTCCTTCCCCCACCCCAACCACCTCTCTCCAGCTACAAAGAAGTTGCACACCATAGCTACCACGGTGTATGAAAAACTTGATATGTTGTTCAAAAACCACACCTACAAACCAGGTAAATATACAGAGGCAGGTTACTACAGGTCACAGTCATTTTCTTGCCTTCGTTGTGAATTACCTTTGCCATATTTAATCATCAGGTAGATGCAAATGCGTCAGAGGTGGTATTCAGCAGGTTCTGACCAGTTCTGGAGAACTGGTAACGGAAATGTTGAGTAATTCAGAGAACTGGCAAATACCACCTCTGACTGGCCCCGTCCCCATCTATTCTCTGCCTCCCGAGTCCCAGCTGATTGGCTGGGTTTCCTTTTGTTGCCCTGCACAGGAGAACGGAGCTGGAAAGCAGGTTAGTGGGGTGGGGAGGGAATGGAGATTTTATAGTATCCTTCTGCTGCCACGCCACCAAGCAATGCCCTGCCCACCAAGCCCCGCCCACAGAACTGGTAGTAAAAAAATTTGAATCTCACCACTGATTAATGCTTTTACTTGGTTTAGTAAGAAATTTACTTAACTCACCTTTCAACTTACTTTTTCTCCTTCTGTCTATGTGTATTCACTTTAAGCTGTTTTTCTCTTGCCTTCTTGGGTTTGCAAGACACACAGAACAACAAGCTAGCATCCTGTGCAAATTCAAACCACGGGTTTGACTGATGAGTACAGGTAGTCCTCGACTTACAACAGCTCATTTAGTGACCGTTCAAAGTTACAACGGCACTGAAAAAGGTGACCTATGATCTTTTTTTACACTTACGACCATTGCAGAATCCCCATGGTCACAGGATCAAAATTCAGACGCTTGGCAGCTGGGTTCATATTTATGATGGTCAAGATGTCACAGGGTCATGTGATCTGCTTTTGCGACCTTTTGACGAGCAAAGTCAATGGGGAAGCCAGATTCACGTAACAACTGGGTTACTAATTGAACAACTACAGCGATTCTCTGAATAACAGCAGCAAGAAAAGTTGTAAAATGGAGCAAGCTGACTTAACAAATGTTTCACTTAACAATATAAATTTTGGGCTCAATTGTGGTCATAAGTCGAGGAATACCTGTAATTGTAAGGAGTCTTGAGTCAATATTGATTCCTGGTCACTGCCTTAGCCAGTTTTCTGGCAGTTTTCTAGGTAAGATTTCAGAATCAGTTGCTATTATTGACTCCTTCCTAGGGCTGAAAAAGAATGACTAGCTCAAAGTCACTCAGCTGACTTGGTGCCTAGAAGTTACAGTCTCCTGATTTCTAGCCTAGAAGTCCAAAAATAATCACAATATTTCTATTAAATTCAAATAGTAAAAAATCCTGCCATTCTCAAGACTTGCTGTTTCATAACCTGAGTGTTTAAAGAGATTTGGATCTGGATTTATGGAGATTGGAATCATCATACCACAATTCCCAGAGTCAGAACAGAAATGACAGATGAACAGTAATTCTTAAAAAAAGAGAATAGATGGAGAAATTGTATAGGCACAGCATTGGATGAAGTCAAAACAAATAAATCATATTATGGCTCAGTATCTCAGCCATTATCTCCCTAAATCAAAGGGATTTTGTAAATCCAGTTGCTGAATTGTCCAAATTCTGGGAGAGCCGAAAATCTTATGATCCGGATATATTCTGCATATTTACTAAATCCTTTTAAATTTCAGCAAAGCTGTTCCCAAACATTCATGCATTGGATTGCTTGGCATCAACCACCAAGTCATGTTTGTCACTCACAATTTTATGGATCTGTATTCTCCATACCTCACTGTCTCGCACTGCCTCCTTCGGAGCATCTATGGCAGGGATATCAAACTCGATTTCATTGAGGGCCACATCAGGGTTGTGTTTTTCCTCGGGGACCAGGGTGGGTGTGGCCAGGGTGGGCGGGCCAGCTTGACGTCACTCGTGTCAGGGGCGCCAATGGTGGCCCCAGCACTCTGCGAGGAAAAATGGGCTCACGAGCTCTGTTTTTGGCTGCGACAGCCTCCTGTAACCCTCTGTCAGCGAAAATGGAGGTCCATTTCTGCTGTCGGAGACACTGCGGGACGTTCCTTTGCTCTTTCCAGGGTGGCCCTGCAGGCCAGATCTAAGCACCCTGCAGGCCAGATCCAGCCCCCGGGCCTTGAGTTTGACACCCCTGCTCTATAGTCATCTCAATGTCATCCTTTATAGTGCCCAGACAAGGTACTTGGGCAGTGGTGGCTAACCTTTTTGGGCTCCTGTGCCAAAAATTGTGCGCTGCTGCTCGTGCGCTCGCGTGCCAGCACCCAGAAGGCAATGCATACCCCCCCGCCCCCTGCACATGCGTGCACAATCCCCCCACCCCCCCTTACCTGCACTGCGCCTCATAGCTGATTTTCAGCTGGTTTGAGGCCTTTTTTGGCCTCCCAGAGGCTTGAAAAAAGTCTCTGCAGGCCAAATAGGCCCATTTTATCACTTCCGGTATTAACAGGAAGTGACGAAATGGGCCTATTTGGCCTGCAGAGGCTTTTTTCAAGCCTCTGGAAGGCAGAAAAAGGCCTCAAACCAGCAGAAAGTCAGCTGTGAGGCACGCACATGCATAGTGAGGTAAGTTTGCCTGCGGCTCACGTGCCGGCACAAATGGCTCTGCGTGCCACCTGTGGCATGCGTGCCATAGGTTCGCCATCATGGTACTAGGGCGTCCCCAGTGGCGGTAGTCTACCGGTTCGACCCGGTTCTAGCATATCGGTAGCGCCGAAGAGCAGCGGAGACTGAACCAGTTCTCTCTGCCCCTCTGCTACGGGGCCCACCCGCCTGCCCAGGCTCCCATACTGACCTTCATTCCCAGCTTTTGAAGCGCAGTTGCTTTGTGTGGCACAGCAGATTGCCACACGTCAGTTGCTGAAGCGACAAGGAGAGTGAAGGATTGCTGGAGGTGAGTCAGAAAGCCTCTGCGCCTGCGCAAAGTGTGTGTGTGGCAGGCATGTGCAAAGTGTGTGCGTACACGCAAAGCGTGCCCATCAAGCCACGCCCACTGAATCAGTGGTAAACTTTTTTGAAATGCACCACTGGGCATCCCCTTCTCTTTTTTCCACTGATCACTCCCAACATGACTGACTTTTCGAACGAGTCAGCTTGCATGACACAGCCAAAGTATGATAACCTTTGTTTGGTGATTTTGAGTTCTACAGTAGTGATATTTTTGGTGAGGTTCAGTCTAGGACTTTGCTGCAGTCTATGGGATGTGTAATGATCATCTCCAAGTTCCAAGCTGTCCACCCTTCTCCTATCTGCCTTTTTCCGAGTCCAGGTTTCGCAGCCAGAAATAAATAGCAATTGAAAAAAAGTATTGCATTGACTAATCTGCATTTGGCTGGGAGGCTGATATCTTCACAATAATGCTAGTTGTTTTGGTTGTGTGTTCTCATATTTCTGACCTGTTGGATCTCTTGGTTTCCCAGGTGATCTTCCTAAAAAACTGGATTCTATTTTTGAAGAACAAATCCAAATGCTACAGGACGCCATCGTTGACAGTGAGCTTTCCTTGTTCTGTTTCTGAATTAATTTGAAAGCTGACGAGAATGCCTCTTCTAAGACAGGGCCTGCTGTAATATGGACCACGAAGTGGAGATGCCTCTTCTAAAATGGGGCATCCTCTAATGCAGAGGGGTCAAACTCAAGGCCCGCGGGCCAGAGGGTGCTTAGATCTGGACTGCGGAGCCACCCTGGAAACAGTGAAGGACTGGCCCGTGGTGCCTCTGCCAGCGAAAAGGGAGCTTGGGGGAGCTGTGCGTGGCCTTCCGGGGCTCCGCTTTTGCTAGAGGAGGGCTGCAGGATGGCGAGCTGGCCACGCCCACCCTGGCCACACCCACTCTGCCTCCTGAGGTCAAACACAACCCTGATGCAGCCCTCAATGAAATCGAGTTTTGATACCCCTGCTCTAATGTCAGGCCAGTGGAATCTCCCAAGATGGGCTGGTGACCTGCCCAGGGGGTGGGATGCTACCGGTTCGGCCCGGTTCTATAGAACCGGTAGCTCCGAAGAGCAGCTGACACCAAACTGGTTCGCTGCGATGGCCTTCTGGTCGTCTGTTTGGCCCACCCGCCCGCCCAGGCTCTTGGCTGTCCTTTATTTCCTGCTTTTTCAACCTCAGCTGCTTTGCGCGGCACAGCTGAGGTTGAAAAAGCAGGAAAGAAGAGGCTTTTCAAATGCTGCGCACCCGCGCGCAGCACTTGTCAGCTGTCCGGGCGGCACAGCTGATGATTTTTTGTAAATGCTGCACACACACACACACGCAGAATGCCCTCTCACCGAACCGGTTGTAACACTAGTTTAATCCCACCTATGGACCTGGTCCTTCTTCTCAGATGGCACCGGGAGGGTATGTTTCCCTTAATAGAGCAACTGTCAATAATTCATCACGGATGAAATCCTCTTTTGATGTGGCAGTGGGTGTAAATGCTTCTTCTAAGGTAAAACTTATTGAGGATAAAATTCCAATAAGTGCCATTGAAAATCACGAATCTTCTGCCTGTTGAGCGGCTCCTTGGTTACCTATCCAAAAACCTTTAAAAATTGCAGTGGGATTTATTTCTGAGTAGACCTGCAAAGGAATATACGATGAATGGATGGAATGCCTCAGCTTGGTTAACTGTTGAAATTTTTTCCCCCTCTCTCATAGGCAGACTCAAGTGTGAAAACCACTGTGGTAAGTGGGAGAGGAGAGCTGTTCTTTAAAGCAAATGAGAGATTCTGCACACTACAGTATTTTCATCAAAAAAAAAAAGTCAAGTTTTTTTAAAATTTATATATAAACATTTTGAATACAATGTATTGTCTGGTCATACCATTTTACAAGAGAAAAGAAAAGAAAAAAAATAGTAACATATATGCTAATAACAATAGTAGTACTACAACAGAATGATTTAACCATATTTATAATTATGTTAGATTATTTGTAATCCTATTGATTATATTAGCATACTTATAATTACAAACAATGTTCATGTTTAATTTATACATAGCAATACTCCTTCTTCATCTAATTTCTACCTCTTAACTCTAACCACTGATAAAATCTATTCCACATTAAGTAATACTCTGTATCTCCTTTATGTTTTATTTTCAATGTCAGTCTATCCATCTCTGCACAATCCAATATTTTCCGAATTATACTTTCATCCGATGGGGTGTTCTCATTTTTCCAATATTGTGCAAATACAATTCTCGCTGCGGTCAATACATGTAAAATTAAATATATCGTCTACAGTAGTTTCATACATGGCCTCCTCAGAACCATCTTCTTGTCTCTGAAGGTTCTCATGGCACCTTCCTTTGCAGTGATTCAGAAGACCCGAAGGAAAGCAAATATACATATCCCAGGATAATGTTGCGGGATCCAATGTGGGTCAGCCACAGTGATGGGATTCAAAATTTTTTACTACGGGTTCTGTGAGCGTGGCTTTGTGGGTGTGGCATGGCTTGGTGGGCATGGTAGGGAAAGGTTACTGCAAAATCCCATTCCCTCCCCACCCCACTAACCTGCTTTCCAGCTCCGTTCTCCTGTGCAGGGCAACAAAAGGAGACCCAGACGACCAGCTGGGACTCGGGAGGCAGAGAATAGATGGGGGCGGGGCCAGTCAGAGTTGGTATTTCTCTAAACTACTCAAAATTTCCACTACCGGTTCTACTGGTCAGAACCTGCTGAATACCACCACTGGTCAGTCACTGGGTCCAGAGGTTTAGTCTTCTGAACTTTCAGACTCGTGCGGGAGCCCATCCTCAGGGAATTTAAAGTCTAAAGTTAGGGTCACCATATCTATTTGTCCATTTTTAAAATTCATATTGCAATTATTATGAAAGACTTGCATTTTGAAGAATAACTGAGACCTGTGAAGTGACCCCAAATATATGACTATTCAAACTTCATTTATATCACACAGCAAGAAAGTCTGAATCACACTGATCATAGGACAACAACCCCATTAAGACCCAGACAGACTATTTGATCATTTAATTTAATATTATCTGCTCTTAATTGGCAGCTGTCCTTCCAAATAATTTATTCCCCTCACTGGCTTTTCTAACTTTAGGTGCCAGGAATTAAATTAAATTAAAATTTCTGCAATGTTTGACTGAGCTCCAATTTCTCAACTTGATGATGATGATGATCTTGGAGTCTTAGTGGACAACCAGCTAAATATGAGCCAGCAGTGTGCAGCAGCAGCCCAAAAAGCTAATGCAATCCTAAATTGCATTAACAGAGGGACACAATTAAGATCAAGGGAGGTACTAATACCGCTCTATAAAGCCTTAGTAAGACCACACCTAGAGTCCTGCATCCAGTTTTGTTCACCACATTATAAAAAAGATGTTGAGACTCTAGAAAAAGTACAGAGAAGAGCAACCAGGATGATGAGGAGATTAGAGGCTAAAACATATGAAGAACGGTTACAGGAACTGGGCATGGCTAGTCTAGTAAAGAGAAGGACCAGGAGAGACATGATAGCAGTCTTCCAATATTTGAGGGGCTGCCACAGAGAGGAAGGGGGTCAAGCTGTTTTCTAAAGCGCCTGTAGGCCAGACAAGAAATAATGAATGGAAACTGAACAAGGAGAGATTTAACCTGGAAATAAGGAGAAACTTTCTGACACTGAGAACAATCAACCAATGGAACAGAAGTTGTCCTCGGAAGTTGTGGGTGCTTCATCACTTGAGACTTTCAAGAAGAGATTGGAGAGAGTTTTTGGGGTTTTGGGAAGAAACCACAGAGTCAGGTAGAGTATTCCAGACAATGATCACTCTGTTGCTGAAGTCATATGTCCTGCAATCAAGTTTGGTGCTATTAACCTTGAGTTTGTATCTATTGTGTGCTCTTGTATTATGGTTGAAGCTGAAGTGTTCATTGACAGGTAGGACATTGCAATGAATGATTATTTTTCTAATATGTATCCATGTATTTTATTTATACCTATTATCTTTTAAGCAATTGACAAACCAAATAAAACAAATAAGTAAATAAAAATTTTATATACTATACTTAGATCGGACCGAAGGCGGCATAGTTCTAGGTTTTCTAGGTCTAGAATTTCAAGTCTGGTGGCATAAGGTATTCTGCAATGAGTAGAGGAGTGGAGAACTCTTCTTGTGAAATATTTCTGGACTTTCTCTACTGTGTTAACATCAGATACGTAATATGGGTTCCAGACTGATGAGCTGTATTCAAGTATTGGTCTAGCAAATGTTTTGTATGCTCTAGTTAGTAGTGTGATATTACCAGAGAAAAAGCTACGTAGGATTAGGTTAATAACTCTTAATGCCTTTTTGTCTATGTAGTTACAGTGGGCTCTAGCACTTAGATCATTAGAGATGAGTATTCCAAGGTCCTTTACAGAGCTTGGATCATCAACAAGGTCTTGATTATTCAGCTTGTATTTTATTTTCTGATATTTTTTTTGCCAATATATAAGACAGAGCATTTATTTGTTGAGATTTGAAGTTGCCATTTGTTTGACCATTCTGATACATAGTCAAGATCTTTTTGAAGGGTAGCAGTATTGCCTGTGGTATTGAACAGGTTTACATCATCAGCGAAGAGAATGCAATTGCTCTTAATATGATCACAGAGGTCATTTATGTAGAGTATGAAGAGAGTTGGTCCTAGAACACTGCCTTGGAGGACACCACTGTTGACAGGTACAGAATTTGATAGGATGTTTCCAATTTTGACCATTTGTCTGTTTGACAGGAATGCTTCTATCCAGTTATGAAGGTGTCCAGAGATACCATAAGATTTTAGTTTTAGGAGTAGTTTGTCGTGTACCACTGAATCAAAGGCTTTACAGAAGTCTATGTAGATTGCGTCTATTGTTTTGCCCTGATCGAGGTTTGTAGTCCATATGTTTTTGCAGTGTCAGAGTTGAAGATTACAGGATAGTTTTTTTCTGAAACCAAATTGTTTATTAGAGAGTAGGTTGTTTGTCTCTAAGTGGAGGATAATGGATTGGTTAATAATTGATTCCATGACTTTACAGGTGACGCAGCATAAGGAGATTGGTCTGTAATTTTCAACGAGGCTGGGGTCTCCCTTTTTGAAAATGGGGATGACCGTGGCTAGTGACCATAGGTTAGGCAAGGAGCTGGCCCTGAAAGATTTTTCAAAGATTATGCTTAGAGGTTCGGCTATGGCAGTGGATAGCTTTTTAAAGAAGTAGGCACATATTCCGTCCGGTCCAATAGATAGAGATGGTTTTAGATTGCATAGTGCTTTTTCAACATTGTCTTCTGTAAAATTGATATGTATTAGATCATTGTAGTTGTCTGTGGTTCGACTAGGAAATACTGGGCATGATCCATTGCTGTTTACAAATTATGAGCCAAAGAATGTGTTAAAGATGTTGGCTTTAATGGTGTTGTCGTTGCAGTCTTTACCATTAGGTCCTATCAGGGGTGGGATGGACCTTGAGTCTTTTAGTTTGTTGTTTACAAAATTGTAGAAAGCGTGGGAGAAATTGGTGCGTAGAAGGTTTTCCTCTTGTTTAATGTGATAATTGGTGCATTCGGTCTTTATCTGGTGGCATAAATTTTTGTATTGGCTTTTGAAGTTGGCAACGTGACCAGACTTGTTTTTCTGCCAAAGTGATCTCTTTTTGGATTGAAGCTTCCTTATTGTTATGGGTAATCTGTTTTTTCTAGTTTTGGGAGTTGTTATTGGTACATATAATTTGATGACTCTTTTGACTTCAAGTAAAAATATGATGTAATGGTCTTCAACAGTACTGCATCCAGTGAATAGAAATTGCCAATTAAGGGATGAGAGATCGTTGTCTATAAGATCGTAGTTGCCTTTTCTGAAGTTATAATTGGGGATTACGTCATTGTGGTGATTTTTGTGTGGACGTATGTTGAGACAAAAGTCAATCATGTTGTGGTCACTGTTGAAAAAGGGTTCTATAATTTGTATTCCCTAATTTGAATTCAAACTATTGCAGAAGATGAGATCGAGGCAGTTGTTAATTCTAGTATTGTTGGTTACGTTATTCCAGTCCCAGATTTGTTACAACATTGTAGAAGGTTGCATGTATGGGTTCATTGTCACATTCGTTTAAGGTCCAGTTAACATGAGGTAGATTGAAGTCACCAAGAAAGATAAAAGTATGTGGGCAGGATGTTGCCCACGTTAGTAGTGAATTTAGCTTGTTTACATGTTCAATGTCATAATCAGGGGCTGTGTAACATAGTAAGAATCGAAATGTGATATTTAAGGACAGTTCACAGACGATGGTCTCAGGAAGAGCAAGCTTCTGGGTAACTTGGATGTTTTTTAGATGTAAGGACTTTTTATAGAAGATAGCAACGCCACCTCCTCTATGGATTTCATGATCTGATAGGTAAACATGATAGTCTCTTATTGAGGTAATGAAGTCAGGGAGAGATGCGTTGAGCCATGTTTCACAGACAAATATGATGTCGAATTTAGCCATATTTAGTAAGAGGAAAAATTCAGGTATTTTATTTACAAGGCTTCTTGCATTGAGTACCTTGCATTTAAGGCCATTTGTAGTTTGAATTGAGGTAGTTAGGGGCATGCGTGCCTAGTCTTGTCTTCTTATCTTGCTGTATTTCTTTGAATTGTTCTATGGTCAGACTGGTGTCAGCTTTGATGGTGTCTAGCCAGCGTGTTCTTTGACAATCTTGCTTAACAAATCTAATAAATTCCTTAACAATTTCTATCTCACTTTGTTCAGAAGACAACCAAGACTGGTGTTTGGTGGGGGAATTACACAAGATTTCTCTCTCACCAGTCCAGGATTTAATATTGATTTTTGTGGATTTTTGCCATGAGTCTGTTGCATTCAGCGGTCTGTAAGTCTGGTCAATGAATAGGCAAGCCTGAGTTTGACAACATTGGCAAATTTTTTTAGTTCAAGAGAGAGCATCTCACCTACCAACTCAGCTACAGGGCATTATAGATCTGAAGGCAAGAAGGTGTGTTGACGTGTCCAGAGATGAGGGGTACCTGCAGGGTTTGGTCAAGATAGTCAAGATGGAACAAATGATGCACCTAAAAAACAGGGACTTTTGGTCATAGATTGTCGCTATTATCTTGGTTTTTTTGGCCAAACTCTGTGGATGTATGCCTGTTGCCTGTCCGCTGGTCCTTAAACCAAATAGGTCTTTTGGGGGGGATTCTGCTTCAGTGAACAGCCATGCTTGATGCAGCTGCTTTAAGGAGTTCCAGAAAGAAATTCCAGGTCCATGCCTTCTAAAGCACCTTTCATTCCTGAACCAAGCCCACTGCAGTGCCTTAGTAGCTCTCCCTTCCAGCTGATGGAGATGAGCATTTAAGAAATACAAAATATAACAAACAAACAGACAGCTGTCCAAGATTCCACAAAGGCTCTGTTTCCCAGCTCTGTAACATTTTTGGTATGCCGAATATTTATTCTATTGAGCAGTGTGCGTGCGTGCACATGTGTATATTTGATATAAAATATTACACCTTTTCTTTGGTGACGAATTAATTTGCTGTTTCTTTTTTTTCCAGGTGTAAATCACTATGAAGCTATCTCCTGTGAGACATGCAACGCAACCAAACCAACTTGTTTTGGCTATAACTGCGAGTATGGATCATTTTTCCTTCCTTCCTTCCTTCCTTCCTTCCTTCCTTCCTTCCTTCCTTCCTTCCTTCCTTCCTTCCTTCCTCCCTCCCTCCCTCCCTCCCTCCCTCCCTCCCTCCCTCCCTCATAATTATTTAAACTTTGGAGCTGGCAAAAATAGCCCTTATTATAAACAATATTAAACAATATACAGTGAGAAAAATGGCATATGTGGGCCAATATATTGTAAATTTTTGTGTAATCTGTTCTATTTTGGCTAAAAGTTTTGTATGGCATGTACTAGTTCTGCCTCTCACTTCTGTCAAGTCTCACCCAGCTAGGGAAGATCGAGAAAACAAGAATTATTGTTTCTTGCAACTGGGGCTAAGTTGCTGCTTATAAAATAAGCTTGCAACTCTCTCACCTTTTATTTCTTGATTTTTAGCAACGTTAAAGTGTGTGGACTTCAACTGCCAGAATTCCCCATCCAGAATTCTGGGAGTTGAAGGTCCACACACCTTAAAATTTTCCAGGTTAAAAAAAACATTGATTTAGATCCAGTCCCTCTTTGTCCCAAAGTTTATTTTTTTCAAGAGGCAACTGGACTTTCTGATTTTTCTTTGAAGATGTTTTACTTCTCATCCAAGAAGCTTCTTCAGCTCTGACTGGATGGTGAGAGAATGGAAGGATTTATACTCCATTCTAAATGAAACAACAATTTCATAAACTCATGGCATAACATAGGAGAAAAAACACATCAGGACTAGATTCAGCAGCCCATCTGCATTTAAAACAGGGGTTGCCAACCTTTTGGACCTCAGGGACCACCAAACTCATACTTTTAAATCCCAAAGACCAGAGACCCTTGGAAAATCCCCCAAAAAGTCTGCAGGAAAATTCCCCACCCCATTTTCCTACTGATTGATCATTCTTTATTTGGGATCTCAGGATACTGTCTTCAGCTCCGTTCTCAGGGGGAGAGAGAGAGAGAGAAACTTTTGGCTCCATGCAAGGAAAGCAGCAGAAGCAGCAGAAGTCTTTCTTTCTCTCCCCAACTCCACCAGAAATGAGTCTTTGTGAGACTTGTCATGCCGGCGCAGCTTTTTGGAACAGGATGCCTTGCAGGGTCCCAAAGACTCATTTCTGGTGCAGTTTGGGGAGGAGATTTCCTTGCGTGCAGCCAAAAGCAGAAGATGAAAGAAGTGGAAAGAAGCAGCCCGGTGGCTAGGCCAGGTACGTGGGGCAACTTCTCCCCCTCCATCCTTCCCGCCCTCCCCTCACTACCTCATGTTGTTCGCAATGCAAGCGACGCAAGCATTGTGTTCCCGCACAGCCTGGATTATTTAGTTAGTTTACTTTATTGTCATTGCACCTCGTACAACAAAAATCAAACACCATCTTCAATGCACATCATGACCATGAAAATAAACACAAACACACATCCTTCACACTCCACATTAATTGCTGGGGGGTGCTCTGGGGGTGACATTTCTCTGCAGACCACCAAAATTTTCTCACGGGCCACCAGTGGTCCGCGGCCCACTGGTTGGCAACCACTGAATTTTAAAAGACACAGGCCACTCCTTTGAAGACAACAAAGTCCATATTTTGGACAGAGAGGATTGCTGGTTTGAAAGAGGGTTTAAAGAGGCCATGTATGTCGAAGTTGAACAGCCCTCTCTCAACAGAGGGGAAGGGATATGACACCCTCTATCTCCAGTCTATAACACAGTCCTTTCAGCAGTTCCAAGAAGGCTCCACACCAATTTGTACTACTCAGGTGACACAAATAAAACTACAAGTGGTCTCAAGACTCTCTAAAAGAATGCAAACGACCAGCTGTCTGCAAGGAGTATAAATTCTTCTGCTCCCCCACCATCCAGTCAGAGCTCAAGAAGCTTCTTGGATGAGAAGCGAAATGCCTTCAAAGAAAATCCAGAAAATCCAGTTGCCTCTTGGAAAAAAATCATCTTTGGGACAACCATGTCCTGGATGACTGAGAATCTCCATAGACTTTGATCACTTTCCCTTTCTTCCCACAACCTCCATGCTATCAGCGTAAACAGGCATCATCTTATGGAATCATGATTAGGTTCCAGCTTTTTTGATGCAATGGTGATATATCCACAAATCTCAGAGGAGGGAAAATGTCATGTCCCTGTGGGGGTGTGACTCCGAGGGAGAGGAGGAACAACTGACAGGGAGTGGGAGTGTGGCTTCAGAGGAAACTGGGGAAGGGCACAGGCCCGCTGGGCATTTAAAGGAAGACCCAAGCCCATCCCCTCTTCATCCTAGGGCATGCAGGAGTGGATAAGGGAGAAACAAGAATGGCGTGGTCTAGTGGGAGGAAGGGGCCCTGATCCCTTTCATGGGCTGCGGCTGTGAGGACTGTTTAAAAGGACAAACTGCGCATGGGACAGTGCTGGAAGCGAAGCATGAAATAATTCTAGTCTTTCAGTTCTTATCTGAGTTCTGGCGTCCTTCCCAGTGTATGTATTTCAATATCTGTGGATGTCTTCAAGCCTTTATCCTGCCTTGTCTTATTAATTGCTTCAGTGTGGTTTGTATTGTTGTTTTTTCTATTTATAATTTATATGTATTTTGAGTTTGAACAGCATTTCTTCCTTTTCGCAACTGTTTGTGGGGGAGTTTTTTTCTCCAGTCAATGATAATTGGAGCTTTGAAGCCAAGTTGAAGGAATTAAAGGGACTTCACCTGTTTTTGTGACTTTGTTGCTTTTGTATCCCACCCTGGGTCATAACAGAAAAGCTCCTTAAGGCAGCTTTTTGGGCAGTTACGTACCTCGACAAACCAAGGATGAAATTGTCTATAAATATGGTAGACAGGAAGGAAACTATAGAAGATAACCATGACATGGTTTGAAAACAACAATTTGGGGAATGAGTCAAATGGCAATTTCCTAGTTCCACAGATCTTGTCCATTTGACTTTAAAGGAGGACAGGACTGGTGGAGATATGCTTTAATGTCGCCAGTTGCCACTCTTTCCTTTGACAGGCTGAATCATTGTTAACACCGCGGTATCTTGTAATGCCCTCAGGCATTAACTTTCCTCTTGAAGGACTGCCTTTCCCCAGTTACATCTGAGAGATCCTTGGGGCTATCTGAGCGTGCTTGTTTTCTTGCAGATGTTTCATTACCCTAACTAGGTAACATCATCAGTGCCAGTAAGGTGTGCCGTTTATTGTCAGTTTATTTTCTGGTAGCTTGCCCTGTCAGGGTTGGTGGGGGAGATCTTAGAGATTCTTTGGTTGGGCTCTTTGCTGTTGGCTTCTTTGGCAATTTCTTGATTGGGGTATTGTTTCCTTGATTGTTGGTCTGATGTTAACCTGGGTGTTAATCTGTGCTGATCTGAGTGCTGATTGCTGATGGAGAAGAGTGTTTGGATCTTTTTGCTCTTTTTTTGCTCCCTTTTGCATAGTCTATAGATGTTGTTGATGTCTATATGTCTATTGGTGACTGATTTGTCAGAGGGCCAGGCTTCTAGAAATTCCCTGGTGTTTTTGGACTGGGCTTGGTCTAGGATGCTCACATTTTTCCCATTTGAAACTATGATTAAATCAAGGGTGGGCTTCAAATTTTTTTAGCAAAGGGTTCTCTGCCCAGTTGCTGGATGGGCGTGGCCTAGTCGGCCTCCTGCACCATGGCGTGTGGGGGGGGGATTTTTGCCTTCCCTGGGCTCCAGAGGCTTTCTTTGAGCCTCCCGGAGGGCGAAAACGGACTCCCCGGGCTCCGGAGGTTCTCTGGAAGCCGGAAACGGGCCCATTGGATTAAATCTGTCTATAAATTGTGAGATTAAAGAATTTTCATCATGTCTTCGGATTGCTAGTTGGTGTTCGTGGATGCCTTCTGTCAGTCTTCTGCCTGTTTGTCCTACATAGTGGTTGTTGCAGTCCTTACACTGTACGTTGTAGATGACTCCTGTATTTTCCTTCTGGGGTTGTTGGGTCTTTTGGGATGTTTTGAAGGGCTTTAGTTGACTTTGTGTGCTATGCAGATTCCATGTGGTTGTAGGCGTCTGCTGGTGGTTTCTGAGATATTCTTGATGTACGACAGTGTAAGTCTTGTGTTGGTTATGCTGTGTTGTGTTATATTGGTCAGGGACTTTTTGATAAAGTTGCGCGGATATTTATCAAAGAGTCACTGTGAGTGAGTTCGCCATATACATTTTCTTAATAAATAAACCAATTAAGTGGTTAATTTAAGATTAGGATTTTGTATATCCTTGTGAGGATTTGCACAACTTCTCGCTTATATTTCCATGTCTGATATTCCTTTTATGCAGATCCTCAGAAAAATGGAAAGATGCCTTGAATGGACTCTATGAATATGTGTAAGTCTCATTGTATTATGTTCTGGTCACAAAATAAAACCTTGAAGGTTGAAGGCCAAAAAGAACCTAGAGCAGCCATGGCCAAAAATAAGGATAGAAATGGCCCATCCAGGTGAGACCATAACACCTGGCAGCATCTCTTTGGATTGTCTGTAGTACCTCAAGGTTTCAGATACCACCTGCAAATAGATCCTGTTGACTAGAGTGATCAGGGATTGAACTCCTATTTCCTTTGTATTCATTTATTAATGATTGAACTTTTATCCCATCCTTATAGATGGGTTGACATGAGTGATCTTCACACAAGACTCCAAGCTGCTGGTTTAGCCAATCAGATTTAACCTATCAGATTTAGCCCTATTCAGATCTTTCCTTTGGTTGGGTGACCCCAGAGAATTGTTGAGTAAATCATGTTTAGAATAGGCTGCACTGCAAAGACTATGGTTTGTCAAAATCATGCAGGGATGTCTATGGGATCAGCCAAAAGCACAACAAGCTCTGTGTGTATAGAACAGGGGTGGGCAAACTTTTTGGCTCGGGGGCCGCATTGACTTTTAAAATTTGACAGATGGGCCGGGTCAGCACAAGATTTTTTGGGAATCGCCCCCCCCCACCCTTCCCCCCCCTCTTCTCCTCCTTCCCCTCCCCTCGGAGGCCCCCTGAGTCAGGAGTTGCTACCACCAGCGCGGCTCCACGTGGCTCCAGTCCCGCGTTGCCTCGGGAAGGGAAAGGCAAAAAGGAAGAGCCGCGGCGGTGCTTTGCAACGGGAGCAGCGGCACCGGAGGCTCAGGCTCAGCAGCTCCTGGTTTTGCCTTTTCCTTCCCAAGGCAACGCGGGACTGGAGCCGCACGGAGCTGCGCCGGCGGTAGCAACTCCTGACAGCCCCAGCCGGACACCTGAGCGGAGCCCGGGCGAAACTGCCTGTTGCTGCTGCCGGAGCACCGCCGGGTCGCCTCCTCCAAGCAGCCTGCCCGCCCGCCGGGCTTCCCCTCTGCCGCGCGGCTTGGGGCCAGGCGCGAGGGCCCGCGAGTTAAAAGGAAGCCGAAAGTTGCTGGGAAGTTGCTCGGGTGCTGGGAGCAGGCTTTTAAAGTGCTGCCCGAGCAAAGTTTAAGCAGCCCGCCCGCCTGCCGGGCGGAACCCTTCCTGCTCCTCGGCGGGAAGACGCTCCAGCCTGCAAGCTTTGCCTTTGCAAAGTTTAAGCCTGGAAGCCCCGGAAAAAAAAGGGGGATCGGCGGGGACTCACCTTCGGAGAGGTCGCACTCGAAGGTGATTTCGAACTCCCAGCCGAGGCCTTTGCAAATTTCTTTTCTTTCCTACCTCTAGATCGCTCCGCACTGTTTTGCAGCTTTGGGGGCCACGCGGCACAGGGCCACGCGGCATAGCGCAAAAAATCAGCGATTTTTTTTCAGGGGCGGGCCGGATTGGACAGACCAATGGCAGCAATTTTTTTTCAGGGGCGGGCCGCATTGGACAGACCAATGGGCCGGATGTGGCCCGCGGGCCGTAGTTTGCCCACCCCTGGTATAGAAGGTCCTGGTTTTTTTTATTTTTGAATGAGGGAAGGGGACACGTGACGAGAGTCAGCTTAATATACAGGTTAAGGCGCTGGATTACAAACCAAGAGATTGTAAATTCTAATCTTCCCATAGCATGAACTAGATGTATAAACTCAGGTCAGTTAATCAAACTAGGCTGGTGGTTTGGGAGAAAATAGGAGGCAAGAGCATTATATATTCTGCCTTGAAATATAAATATATATGCATTACTTAGGATTAATTTTAATATTTAAATGTAATTATTATAAATTAAATTTAATAAATAAATTAAAATGATATCATACAGGGAATGAGGATTCAGTATTATCATGTGTATGTGTGTGTGTGATAATACTGATATGATATGATAATAAAATGCAAAACAGAAAAATATATATCCAACACCACCAACAAATAAGAAAGAAGCAAACAAAAAAAAATTTATACAGGAAAGGAAGAAAGAAAATAACCCAAACATCAAATAAATTTAACATTAAACATATAGATTTCACCCCTGCTGGATGCCTGGAAAAAAAACAAAGATTTTTTTTAAAAAACCCTGATAAATTCTTCTCCCCTTTACATAACAGGTCTACAATTAGTTATAAGCTTTCCGGATTCAGTATTATCTCATTGTCCCTTCGGATTGGGCTTCTTTTCATTTTAAATGTATTTAACTTACTTTAGAGCAAGCTTTTGTGCTTTTCCTGCCTCAGAATGGAATATATTGTAAGAACAATGTACTGTAATACAGTATGGAATGGAAGCAATGGATGATATTTATTTAAAAATAATAGTAGCAATAGCACTTTCACTTATATACTGCTTCACAGTGCTTCACAGCCCTCTCTAAGCGGTTTACAGAGTCAGCATATTGCCCCCCAACAATCTGGGTCCTCATTTTACCGACCTCGGAAAGATGGACGGATGAGTCAACCCTGAACCTGATGAGATTCAAACTGTTGAACTGCTGGCAGCCGGTGATCAACAGAAGTAGCCTGTAGTAACGCACTCTAACCACTGCGCCACCATGGCGTTTGTGAGCCAGTTTATTTCCCCCTTGCATTCATGTGTGGTGTGCAGAATACGTTAGCACCACAAGACCTAGGCTAGTTACGAGGACCATCTTGCTATTAATGGTGCTTCTCATGAGTGATATAATTTGAATGCTTTCCCATAGAAAGCAACCATAATATAGTATATTTAAAATGCATCCTGAAAAAATAGAGAAGCTAATATACAGGCAATTCTCAACTTATGACCACACTTGAGCCTAGAATTTATGTTGCAAAGTGAGAAATTTGTTAAGTGCGCTTTGCCCCATTTTACGACTTTTCCTGCCACATCTGTTAAGCAAATCACTGCAGTTGTTAAATCAGTAACATGGTTGTTAAGTGAATCTGGCTTCCTCATTGAATCTGCTTGTCAGAAGACGATCATGTGACTCCAGGACACTGCAACTGTCATAAATATGAGTCAGTTACAAAGCATCTGAGTGAAAAATCACGTGACGCTGGAGATGCTGCAATGGTTATAAGTGTGAAAAATGGTCATAAGTCACTTTTGAACAGTCACTAAATGAATTGTTGCAAGTCAAGGACTACCTGTAATCAACTTTCAATTTCTGCATGGGCAGTTTGATTAAAGTTGTTTTGGGCCCTGTCTGGCAAGAATGATGATTCTTGTTAACTTGAAGAAGTACATATACATGTATATATGTATTTAATTCTAAAAGAGAAACAAGGAACTGATAGCACATCTAACCATGCAGGAAGATGATCAGATTTTGCACCAACCATTCTGTGCAAATTTAGCCATTTTTCAAGCCATTTTTCATTTTTCAAGTTAGAAACAAGATGTAGTAATGTTTCTTACTTATATGCCTTTTTCTTTTCTTTTCTTTTCTTTCAGGAAGAATTTGAACAAGTAAGTAGATAATTATCTGCCAATGAGTGTAGGCTTTTAATTAAACTAGCTAATAACCCGGCATTGCCTGGGTATTTCTTTATCCCAATGCTGTATTAGACAGGAAAATCCTGTAGTTGCGACTGACACTGTTGTACTGTCTCTGAAGCTCTAGATGTAGTAACTCTCTTGCGCAGCGTTGCAAATCTTCTATTCCTCGGGAGTTTCTTGTCTATGTTGGCGTTTCATTTTTGTATCATTTGATTCAGAGATGGCTATTCAGCAGGTTCTGACCAGTTCTGGAGAACCAGTAGCGGAAATTTTGAGTAGTTCGGAGAACCGTCAAATACCACCTCTGACTGGAGATCTTACAGTATCCTTCCCCTGCCACGCCCACCAAGCCACGCCCACAGAACCGGTAGTAAAAAAAAAAAATTGAATCCCATCACTGGTTTGATTGCACTTGGCCAATCATCTGACGTTTCCTTGGAAGCCTGAGGGCCCCTTAGCAGAGGGACTCCCCCCTTGTGGACTACTGTGAAGCCGTTACCATGGCCACTCCACTGTGCTGCACAGTAGAAACCATTTTAAGGTATACACACACACACACACACACCCCGAGGGGATGTTAGGGGTGTCTTACCCCCCACAATATGTTTTTCAGAGGGCAAGTCATCTGTCTACCACATTTGGTTGAAATTGCTCGCAGCATTCCAGAGTTATGCTGGAACATACACACACACACACACACACACACATATACATATACATATATATATATATGTATGGTATTTAGGTTTCTTCGGGTATTTTCCCACGTCTTAATAGTTGTGCTTTTAAAGTTATAGCGATGTTTCGGCAGAATCTCATCTGCCATCTTCAGGCTTCTGTATTGGGTTTTTTCTTAAATCGTGTGTGTCAGGCTTTGGCAGCCAATCAGGATGAAGAAAAAAACCATTCAAATAAAGCACAAAGCCAGCACCAAATTCAAACAGAAACGGCTGTCAAAGCCTGACACACACAATTAAGAAAAAACCCAATACACAAGCCTGAGGATGGCAGATGAGATTCTGCCGAAACGTCGCTATAACTTTAAAAGCACATTTATTTGGCAAACATCTGCAAAACACGTTGCTGCTGAAGATTCCTCTTTAGACAATTTAGACAAGGCAGTGGAGGATGGGTGGAGGTGTTTCACAGTTGGAATTGGATACTTGGCAGTAACCCTATAATTAATCCTTTGTCCACTGCCTTGGCAGCTGGCTAACAGATTCACCTTGGCTAAATTAGATTCTTTAGTGCAGACAAGAACAAATCCTCAGACATAGCTTTCATGACAGGAATGTGAGATAAAACTTTCTCTTTGACTGTCTCCTGGGCCCTCTGGAAATTCTCTTCTCCCTGAGCTAGGATGGATCCCCCTTGCAGTCATGTAGGAAGCTGATGGAAGCTTCTATTTTTCCTGAACTCGTAATGATCAAGATTGAAGGTGACTGATGATTACATTACTGAGGGTTGAATTGTGCAGGGTCTTTGGTGCTCTGAGCTTGGATAGTTTGTTCTTACAATTTACGTTGGTTGATGCTTTCATGTTTTAGTTGTTCTACACTGCCCAGAATCTCTGATTGGGGGACAGAGAAACAAGGTGAAATAAGCCAGAACGCTCCAGTGGTGGGATTCAATTTTTTTTACTACCGGTTCCGTGGGCGTGGCAGGAGAAGGTTACTGCAAAATCCCCATTCCCTCCCTGCCCCACTAACCTGCTTTCCAGCTCCGTTCTCCTGTGCAGGGCAACTAAAGAAGACCCAGCCGATCAGCTAGGACTCGGGAGGCAGAGAATAGA